ATTCACCATAGCTTCCACTTTGACTGACATTGTACTTGAGCAACCATTCACAATAGCTTCCACTTTGATTAACATTGTACTTGAGCAGCCATTCACCATAGCTTCCACTTTGATTGACATTGTACTTGAGCAACCATTCACCGTAGCTTCCACTTTGACTGACATTGTACTTGAGTAGCCATTCACCGTAGCTTGCACTTTGACTGACATTGTACTTGAGCAGCCATTCACCATAGCTTCAACTTTGACTGACATTGTACTTGAGCAACCATTCACCATAGCTTCCACTTTGACTGACATTTTACTTGAGCAGCCATTCACCGTAGCTTCCACTTTGACTGACATTGTACTTGAGCAACCATTCACCATAGCTTTCACTTTGATTGACATTGTACTTGAGAAACCATTCACCATAGCTTCCACTTTGATTGACATTGTACTTGAGCAACCATTCACCGTAGCTTCCACTTTGACTGACATTGTACTTGAGCAACCATTCACCATAGCTTGCACTTTGACTAATATTGTACTTGAGCAACCATTCACCATAGCTTGCACTTTGACTGTTATTTTACTTGAGCAACCATTCACCATAGCTTGCACTTTGACTGACATTGTACTTGAGCAACCATTCGCCATAGCTTTCACTTTGACCAATATTTTACTTGAGCAACCATTCACCATAGCTTGCACTTTGACTGACATTGTACCTGAGCAGCCATTCACCATAGCTTCCACTTTGACCGAGATTTTACTTGAGCAACCATTCACCACCGCTTGCACATTGCCTGACATTGTACTTGAGCAGCCATTCACCATAGCTTTCATTTTGACTGACATTTTATTTGAGCAACCATTCACCATAGCTTGCACTGAATTTTCATCAGCTTTGACTGAAGGCGTCTAGTCCCGCCAGCGGGGCGCAAATAATTTTTTCTGACCACTATGACAACATTTGCGCTTTCCAAGATAGTGCGCCACTTCCATCAGTAAAAGCCCACTTGGCTCAAAGTGTCATTGACCTCAATGGAGATCGCATTCGGTAACGGCAAATCTTAAGTTTAAAAAATAATTAATAATGGCACATGTTTAATAAATTTGACTTTTAAAAGTAATGATCATACTGTATTAAAAGTCTAAATAAAATTATAATTCCTTTCTCAGCCTTACTGACTGGCAACCCATAATGAATAGCATAAAGATCAACAAAAGTCTACAGTTTAATACTGTGAGGAGCTATTATCAAATCCCACCAGAAGAAGATGGTGAGAAATTTTATTTTTACATTTTATTAAAATATAGTCACTTTGTGTTAACCCTATAACTGTCAATTGCAGTTTAATGCAGTGCCGAGCCATTTGAGCATCTTCATATGTTTTTCAAAAATGACAAAAAATTCAGACTAAATGACGTCAGAGACACTTACAAGGATACATTTTCTGATACTAACATTGAAAATTGTGATATTGGTGAAAAGGGAAGGCACAATATTCCTTTTCAATTAAAGTTAAAGTTACTAAATCCATTTTTACTTAATTAATAATCAAGAACGCATATGAACATAAATGTAATTGAATATATTTAGGGTAGGTCTTTGGGATCCAGTCATTGTCTTTTCTGTTCAATGTCCACACTTTCCCAAACAAACGTGTCTGTAAAAACACCAATACGTCTAAGAGTAAAATTGATCAATATCTAACTATTATGTCACATCGCCATCACCACTAGAGCTTATACTGTCATTACTACCAGATGGAAAATCTCTGAAATCCTAGCGTTCATTCGGATTATTGATGCCAATCTTACTAGCGGCCCATTATATTGATCGTGTCACAATAGAAAGGGGTTTAACGGCCAATGATTCACAGTTATGACCGTTATAGGGTTTAATATGAATTTTTGATCAATTCAACAAGCTGAAATTAAGATGAAAGAAATATATTTTCTGTGTGATGTTCAAGAGTTAAGCTCAAATTAAAAGGGGGAAAGGGGGAGGGAGTTAAGTAATCGGACGTCTTTTTATAAACATTTTCGTAAAACAATTGCACTTAATAACACTAAATTACAGATTTTTTAAAATTTGTTTTTCTTTTAAAGATATTTATAAGTATAATTAAATTGAATATCGTTAGTATCACAAGCTTTGGTATCTTATCTATCATACTTTTTTTATTAGTCATTTGTTATGTCGGATATATTCTACGAGCGAAATCTACAGATTTGTTTCCTGCCTGAAAAAAAAAAATCAGTCGAAGGCAGGAGAATACCCTGCTGCTATCAGGGTTAGCAAGGAGTGTATAGCGATTCTCCTAAAAGGGATTATTTTGGCAATCAATTTGAGATAAGGGTAGGTAAGGATTATTGTTTCTTGACCATCGTTTCGTTTCAATCATAATTAAAGGCCTCATTGTGTGTGATTTTGCTGAAACGCTTCAGTGCCGAAACAAGGCCATGCTAGTGAGAAGATCTGGAGCGGAAGAATTCAATTATTTCATAGGTCTATCTAAAACATCTTCACCCGACTGACAGATGCAACCGTAGTCTAAGAAGTTGGTCAAAGAGTAAGGAGAAATATGGTCTTATTCCCTCAAATTGTGTACTAAGTTACACATTTTGATGTAGTTAGCTTCATCCAGGGATAAATTACTTCTAGATAGATTCGGGCAAAGTTTAATTTTAATTGTTTTTTTAGCAAAATATTTTTGAAAAATCATGACAATGTCGAAAAACTTTACTGATTTAACCTAGCTCAAGTGTAGCTTCACACAATCAAGCTAAAAAAAAAATTTTTTAAAAAAAACTCATGTATTTAATTATTTTTTTTTAGTAAAAAAAAATACATGGTGAATAATAAGGAAAATTTAACTATTCACAAACTCAATTTGTAATTTAATCTTCGTCGCATGAAATTAACATTCTGAAAAAAAAAATTCTGCAGTTGATTTATGATATGTTTTGATACAAGTCGCAACATAACGTTTTATGGCTATTAACATTATTAAGCAATATAAAAACAACTTAGATGATGTCATTGCTCTTGATGGTAAAACATGTGCGGGGTAGAAATTGGGATGCTGAGCATGTCTTGTTTCCGTGGAAAGGTGTGCGCAAAAATCCTTGGGCGCAAAAAACTAGATACAACCATTTTTTTTAAATGTTTGCATCAAATAAAACATGCCGATGTCGCAAATTCACCAGGAGACCTCGGTTGATGCGTGGCAACGCATACCACTCCCCCCCCCCCCACCACACCACCACATGGAACAAAACTAATGCAAACCATAACAACAATTCTAAAATTAATTCAGGGGTTGAATTTTTCTGTTGTGTGAAAGATAAGCAATAGCAACGCAAGCAAGATAGTGAACAACAGTTGTTTAAGCATGGATTACACGATGCTGAGAGTTTATCTCCACAAACTCCACCCCCTACAACGCAATGTGTCGTTTCAACAGAGAGAAGAAAAAAAATTGTGTTAAAATTTTTTTTTGCTAAATTCATCTTTGATTTCTTAAAATTAGACCAATATAATTGAGTGCAATTATGATTTTGAATGAAATTTACTAGTAATGATCCGTCTATAATGACGCTAAGAGAAGACTTTCATTAATTTGCATGGCGATTTTTACAAATCATTTTATGACCATACTGAATTCATGCAAACCCTTTGTCTTGTACAAGTTAATATTAAAATTTTAAAGAGAACTTCTGCCTTTTCTTGGCTTTATTTTTTGGTGTAAATATATGGTGTAATAAAAACACACAAAAAACACACAAGTCCAGTTTTCAATTGACACAACTCATTTTAATTTGAATCTTTCACATAAAGAAACAATGTAAAAGTTCATCAATATGGCACATTTCAAATATAAGATTCAACGTAAAAATATGTTCATGACCTAGCACAATCATAAGCCCCGCTCCCCCTCCCCCATAACATGGAGCGCGTCAAACATACAAGAAAATACATCATAATTTAATCACCAGAAAACACAGACATCTCCTGCATTAATTGAAGTAAATCAAACACAGTCGCATTTCGTGTTATAGTTTTTTGTTTTGTTTTCTTACAGCCCGTAAATACGTCTAATAAACGTACAATGGAAACCAACAAAACCATAATTATTTGTTTGACATACACTATGAAAAGGATAGTTCGCATTATCTACGTTTCTCTTGAACGTGTGGAAAGTTCTTTTTTTTTTTTTTTTTGAGTGTTTGATTTCAAATGATGAAAAAAAAATTGTTTACATTGACAGAATTTTGGTCACATTAAACCCATGCAATCACGCCAATGTATTAAGTGGAAAGTTCTTTTTTTTTTTTTTTGAGTGTTTGATTTCAAATGATGAAAAAAAAATTGTTTACATTGACAGAATTTTGGTCACATTAAACCCATGCAATCACGCCAATGTATTAAGTATATAATAATATATAGGTGTGTTAGAATAAGTGTAAATTGCTGCATATGATGGACAGGATGAAAAAATAAGTGATTCGAAATCATGTTGACAACCCACCCACCATCCAACGATCAACCAACCTTCACAATACTAAACCAAACGATGGTGCCAGAAACAAGAAGAGGAAGTTGAAGTTTTCTTCCCCAATCCCAAAGAAATTATAAGCCCCCCTCCTCCCCGCTACTCAAAGGGGAATAATACAAAATGGGAAATTTAAAAAAAAACAAAAAAAAACAGGATTATTTATGAAGCAGAAACATATAACCTATTTATGAAGCAGGGGTTATATGTTAAATTGTAATTCACTGAACCTATAAAAAAAAAAATTTTTAAAGCACATGAAATGACAGTTAATTGTATAGCATTTCAGCTTTTTATACAACCTTATTTCAAGACGTAAATAATTTTTGACTTACAATTTCCATTCTCCAAGCTTTCTTCGCGAGAACAAAAAATTGCCAAAAATAAAAGAAAATCAATTTAAAAAATACTTTTTTCTTTTTTTTTAAATTAGTAGAATATAAAATGAAATTCATTGGAACAATTAATTTTTACACAGTAAAACATTATACTATTTTTAGCAACATTTCTGTGTCACCCGTGCCTGACAGACCGATCGTAACTATTCACTACAGACCTTGATAACGTCACGCATTTAGATTGTCTTCATTCTCTGTGAATAATCGCATGTACATAAAGGCAATCTTAAATCCCTGGATTAACAGTGGATTAACAGTGGATTAACAGTGGATTAACAGTGGATTAACAGTGGATTAACCATACTTTATGGTCTATTGACGAAGTGGGATAATGCACGCTTTAATCCCGTTGAACATTTCCTTTCGTAAAAATATTAATCAAAATTCAAAACAATTTTTTTTTTCAAATTCGTAGCTATCATATCAATGACATACATGAAACATTACACGAACTTAGTTGTCATGGATAATAACTGTTTTACTCGATATTAACTTCGTTACAATCTTTGTTCTCTCAAAGTCATTACATTAACTTTGTTTCTAAAGAAGTTGTGCTTTAATCATTCACTTTGTTGGTGCTTGTTGGATTCTCTGAGCAGACTTCTACACCATTTTTTTTTTGTTACCACAAGGCATCGAGTTTAGGAAGTTTAAAACGGTTTAATATTTCTAGCAGCTTTTAGCAATACTTAATAAGTAAGGATCACACCAGCAGAAGGTCAAAACGTCTAGAAAGAATTTCATTCGCATATCAAAAGCTGCTCTGCATCTCAGTAAAATGTTAGAACAAGATGATGTGGAAGCTTGAGTCGAAAGACGCGACAATCAGATAAGAACGTTGGGACTCAGAGCCTTGTTTGGCAGTCAGGGCGAATGCAAATACGACAAGAAACAGAAACAAATTATTAAAAATGTATGTCTGTTGTCGTATTTTCATTTGTCACCATCTTTTTATTCAAGTTTCCATACGCTTTGTTCTTCTATTTCCTTCACACAGCTATAAAGCAGTACTTCATTTATTTCCCTTGTTTGCCTAATGCTCAAACTCAAAACTTCAACAAACACAAAATTTCACTGTATCAAGACATCTAGTCACCACCGTCCACAAACGTGACCCATGTAAAATTTCGTAAACTGGTCGGAGACGGTCGGGTGTCCGTCGGTGTTTTCGGCCGCAATGGTCATCGGCCAGGTGAACATAAACATCACACGGTCTCCCAGCCCTCGGAGAATCTCCTTCTGCAGCCTCAGGACGAAACCGCTCATCTTGTGCTTGTTTCTGATCTCTCTGTCTAATGCCGTGAACGCCGATTGGTAGACGACTATCACGTGAGGGTTTCTGGCCATGAGCCGTTCGATGGCCTTGCGTATCAGCCGCAGCCGGTGCTCGGCGATGGACAAGTGAAAAGGAACCAGGTGAAGGAGGTGGTGCAGATGGACGAGGTACTTGCCGTCTGCTGGGATGGCGTCAAGCTGTGAGACGGACGAGTATAGGACATGGTTGGGCAAGTTTTCCCCCTGAAATCATAGAATGAAAATGATTATGTTACAAAACTTTATTGGTACACTGTTCTGTTATAGTGAGATGAATTGCGTCTTTTAGTAACTATATGACTTCTTGCAAGAGTTTTGCCTCTACGCGGCGCAGAAGACTAGTAGGGTAGACCTGACTACCTGAAGCCAAAAAACTCACGCCTTTGCGTCTATCTCCCAAGGCGAAGGGGGGAGGTTACTTGTAACTTCCACCCGTGAGAAGGTAAGAGAAAACAGCCTAGTTATTATTCTTTAATATGGCTAGTAATTTACACATGTCTCAAACTGAGGGGCACTGGAATCCCCTCCTCCCCTGCAGATCGGTGACGGGGCTCAGGCCGACTGTAGGCTTTTGTGCTACTGGGGGCAATAGGCAAGGAGCCGCTGGTCACCTCCCCAAAAACCTAGTAGTTATGCAGCTTAACTGCAACGTGGTCAGAGGGAAAATAACTGAACCCACCAAATTACTCCACAACCGGGATGTGGACGTGGCTTTACTACAAGAGACCCTATTGAAGAAGCACCCATTGCATATCACGGGCTTCTCGGTCTACCGCTGCACCTGCGTAAGGTGCCGAGGTCTGGTAACTCTCGTGAAAAACCACCTCACAGCGGAGCTTGTAGAAAGCAAAAAAATTGGTGGGACAGATACTCTGACCCTGAGGGTAGTCTTAGATGGTAAATCTTTTATCATCAGCAACATTTACAATACTCCGAGAAACACTTTGTGCCTGCCACTGCAGGGCACAACCATCTTTAGTAATAGAATTATAGCTGGGGACTTTAACGCCCATATGGGGGATATGGGCTATCCCGATACTAACGCCTCTGGGCGCTACCTAGAGGAGGTTGAGCTCACAACCAATCTCATCAGACTGCAGAATGGTGACAGTGAACCCACGCTGCTTCACACGGGCAATAGCGCCCTGTCACGTCCCGACATAACACTGGTCTCTGCTGAGCTCGAGGCGAAGACTCAGTGTGAAGTACTAGATGAGATTGGCAGTGACCACAAACCTACCCTCATTACAATCTGTCTTTCACTTATAAGACCTAGATTTGCTAGGAGACACTGGCTGTTTGGCAAAGCCAAGTGGTCCCTGTTCCAGGAGCGAACAGAACGCATGATTGCGGAGTCAACTGAGACACCCAATACATCCAAAAGCATTGACGATGCATATAACGACTTTGTGAGTGGTATCCTCACTGTGGCAAAACAAACAATCCCGAGAACAAACGGGAACCGCAAGTTCCGTCCTTTTTGGAATAAGAATCTGGCGAGGTTAGTCTGTGAACGAAAGAGAGCCCGGACCAAAGCCGGTAAGTTGAAGACGGCCGCTGCTCGTGTGGCTTACAACAGACTGACAGCAGAGGTCCGGAAGGAGGTCGATAGGGCTAAAAAGGAAAAATGGGTTAGTTCGTGTTGAAAACTTGACCTGAAAGACGGCAAAAAGTCTGGCGATTGATGGACTCATTATCCTGCACGGGAAAAATAAAAAATCTACGTCCGTTGCAAACGACGACAGGCACGGCTACCACAGATGCCAAAAGTGCCGATGCCCCAAACAAGCATTTTGCAGAGATAAACCGGAAGCAGAAAGAGACCAGAGAGAGCTATAACCTTAACTGTCTCCGGCGAAATGGAGAGGTGGCCCAGAAGTGGGGGCCGCATGCAGAGGTCTTCACCGCACCTTTCACTTTGGTCGACTTGCAAACCGCCATTAACAAGTGTGACGCCGCCAAGGCACAAGGTCAGGACAAGATCTGCAATGAAATGATTAAAAACCTTGGCCCAATAGCAAGGACAACGCTATTGGAAATTATCAACAGAACATGGGTATCGGGAATCCTACCCAAAGCTTTGCTGAGCGCTACCATTGTCCCTATTCCCAAAGAAGGGAAGAAACTCGATAAACCTGACGGCTACCGTCCGATCTCCCTGACATCGATGTTAGGGAAGGTAGCCGAGAGAATGGTCAACCAGAGACTCTACTGGCACTTGGAGAGCACTAAGAGTCTCAGCCCAATACAGGCGGGCTTCCGCAAGGGAATGCAGCCTGTGGACCAAGTGCTCCGTTTTCTCCAGTCCATAACAGATGGGCTCCAAAAGAAATCCCATACAGTGGCAGTATTTTTTTATCTCAAACAAGCCTATGACCGAGTTTGGAGGTCCGGTCTATTGTTGAAATTGCAGAAGTTGGGAGTAACCGCGAACATGTACAGGAGGATCTCCGGTTTCCTCACCAACCGGACGATAAAGACGAAATTTGGCGGTAAAACTTCCAGGAAGAAGACACTTGAGGAAGGACTCCCGCAAGGGTCTGCCCTCAGTTGCACCCTCTTCCTTGCTTACATCAATGACCTGCCAAAGGTGCTAACGACTAGCTCTGCCATGTATGTGCACGATTTGGTAATTTGGAGCACCGGTAAGGATGTCCTCCGGCTGCAAACGCTACTACAGCAGGAGCTCTCTGCTATCAACAGGTACACGCGACGGTGGCATCAGGAAATTAACACCGAGAAGACGGTATATTCACTATTCACAAATGGGTGGACCATTCTCAAGCAAGAGATCGAGCTCAAGGTTGGTGATGTAGCGCTAAAGTGGGACAAACAACCGGTCTACTTGGGAGTTAAGCTGGACCAAAAGGTACAAATGCATAATTTTGTACAGGACCTCTGCTCCCAGGCGACCGCCAAGCTCAACCTGGTGAAAAAATTGGCTTGCACAAGTTGGGGCGCGAACGCAAGTACGCTTAGAGCTCTCTTTCTAAGCAGTGTAAGGTCGGTGATGGACTACAGCATGCCGGTCCAATCCTTTGCAAGCAAGACCGCACTGGAAAAACTGGGCCGAATCCAGAATCAGGCACTGAGATTCATCTGTGGCGCATACAGGACTACTCCCACAGCTGCTGTAGAAGTCTTGGCCAATGTAGAACCACTACAAATCAGGAGGGAAAAATCCATCTTAAATACCGTAGAGAGGTACCGACGGCTTGGTGAAAATGAACCAGCTTTTCAAAAGCAAAATAACTGGGTGGGCGGCAGGAGACTAAAGAGGTCCTCTTTCATGCACCAGGTCGTGGAGCTGGAGAGGACAGTCCCCCTGCCCCCAAATAGAGAACGTCTGACCCAAATCCCAGTTAATCCACCTTATGCGGAACCCTCACGCCCCTCCATACATTTGGCCTTGACAGATGCAGCAGTGACGAAGCGAAGCCCTGAACATGTACAGAGAGTGGCTGCCCTTGAGACCATGGATGTGTTCACGCACATACCTGTGAAAGTGTTCACGGACGGCTCTGCCGACCTTAGGAAAAGAACTGCTGGGTACGGTGCGCTTATTCAGTACCCAGTAGGTGGACCACCTAATGAAAAACTCTCGGGGCCTTGTGGGACTACAGCGTCAAACTTTGACGCGGAGCTTATAGCTATGCACAAGGCCTTGGAGAGAGTCCATATCACTCTGGAAGGGACGGAGCATGCGGGGCTCGATATTGTTGTCTTCTCAGACTCAAGATCTGCTCTTGAGATCTTGGAGAAGAGGCAGGGTACCACAAGCTTGGTCGACGTCATTCACAACGACATATGCAGACTTGGTGAAATAGGGTGCAAGGTCGAAATGCAATGGATACCAGGGCACGTCAACCTCAGTGGCAATGAGATAGCTGACACTCTGGCGAAAACCGGGGCTGCCCAGCCTCAGCCAGAAGTACCAATGACTTTCTTGGGAGTCAAAAACTGGCTGGCGGACCACTTCAGGCAGAAGTGGTACAGGCAATGGGCTGACAACACGACCGCCAGAGGCGTTTATTCGAACTTGCCTACTCCCAGCAAACAAGACCCATGGTGGGGGTTAGGTCGTAGATTGCAGAGTCTAGTGATGCAGATGCGCACCGAGCACTGCCCCTTGCGCACATATTTCTGGAGGTTGGACAACAACAGAGATCCTACCTGCCGGCATTGCAGCCTGGCCCCAGAGACCTTAGAACATCTGTTGACGGAATGTCCCGCACTAGATCTCCCGGTGGAAGCCAGGGCGGTTGGAGGATCCTTTGTGAGGGAAATGTTGTATGGCTCAGCTCAACAGATGGAGTTGATAGCCAATTTACTAGCCGGGGTCATAAGAGAGTAATCTCAGACCTTCACCAGAATATGTGTGTTAGTTAGCTGTACATTGTGAAACATAAAACTGACCCAGTGACGGCCTCAAGTAGATATCGGTGCAAGAATAGACAGCATATAAGATAACTTTTTGCTGAATAAACATTTTGCTCAAATGTTAAGATGCTAGTGACGAATCGGGGAAAATATTAAAGTTTTTCTTCTTCTGGGTCTCAGTATGTTTGTTTTAGATGGCCTTATTCTGTTTGCTATATGGAGGCATCTGTGTCAATAAAGAGTAGTTTACGAATTAGAATTACTTTTTTTTTTACCTTGGACTTTGCATTAAGGTGGGTGAGATTGAAGAGCCTACCATTCGCTCTTGTATGGATGTACACTCCATCTCGCATTCCCTGACGTAAAATTAAATGAGCATAAATTAGAAAATAAATAGAGAAGACCTTTGGATTCCAATATAACCTTGTTTAAATGGTTACCGGAAATTTCATCGAAAGAAATTTCGTAGACGGTAAATTGATCGACGGAAATTTGATTAAAAGGGAATTTGGTCGAACCTATTTTTCAGTTCAGACGTTACAATTTACGTCGAATTTCTTTTTCAATACACTACACTATATTGCTAAACAAAATAATGCGTTCGAAAAGAAATTTTAAGCAAACGTTTTAACGTAAAAACTTTTTAAAAAAAGGTTTCGACCAAATTTCCTTTTAATCAAATTACCGTCGATCAATTTACCGTCGACGAAATTTCTTTCGATCAAATTTCCGGATAAGTGTTTAAACACCGTGCTGACAGAGAATGCCATAGAGATTGTGTCATTAAACATTAATTTGTCATGCATGTTGTCATGACATGATGTA